GGGTATTAATAGATTAATATCAAATTTGATTCCACTGAATCCATAGATTTTTAGGGACTACTCTGTTGCCAGAGCTCAGACTTTGGATAAGAAAAAGAATGTAATTACTTACAGCCACTAACAGTCCCGTGGGCCTTTTCACAGTCACAGAACTAATTACCCTTTCAGCTGGCTAAGGAAAAATGAGCCCAACTGCTTTTATTTCAGTTGTGGATGAGGCAGAAACCATGCAGAAACACTGGTAAGAAGTTCTGCAAGGCACTGAGGCTCTGTCAGCTTTGTAAGGGGGCTTCCCTGGCTTGTCGTGAAGAGACAAGAACTCCTTTACAGTCCAGAATCTGTGCTTCAAACCCACTCCTCTCCACATCTCATTATGTGTCAGACGCCTCCGTCTACTGTGAGACAGATTTTCCCGATTGACACACCTCCAAGAAACGCAGTGGGAAACAGGATTAACTATAATGCTGTCAACACTTGTGTCCTGCATCTTCGACTAGCAAATATAAACAGTATAAACCGATCAAAGATATGTAAACTATGGCAAGAATATTGATTGTCCAACCCAAACCACTGCACGGTAAGTCTTGCCTTTTTCTAAGCTTCAACTTTCATGATTCATCCCTCCTTCCTTTTCACTAATATTCCAGAGTGAGTAAATAATAATAAACCATAATAACAATATTGTAATACACAATAAAATTAGGTTTGAGCTGTGGATTAGAACTAGGTCTCTCAGTAGTCCAGGGCAAGTTTTGCAGCGGATTTGGTACAGAGCCGAAATATTCGTCAGCACGCGTTTGCGCAAAATAATCTGCAATGCGCCCTGCCATAGCTTTCACGCCTCAGTTCAGCTTAGAGTTACGTAAAGAGACATTTGTGAGGAAAAGGCAAGCAGCAGAGGAAGAGAAGTGCTGCACGCCGCCAGCGCGCCCCGACCGAGGCCAGCGGTGCCGGATGGATCCCTGCAGCCCACGCTGCCCGCCCCGCGTTAGGGCAAGAACGTGGAACAGCCATTAGATGGCAACAACTCCAAATTACTTCTTGTTCCTCCTGCCTCTGACCCAGTGACCTAAAATCATCCAGGTAAAATATACTCGGGTCTATCGCAGTTCAAGGCAAGTAGAGACCTCGCTTCCGGCGCCTGTGCACCTTCTAAGATTGATCCTGGTGTCTACAGCTTGTCCTAAAGACTTTAAAAGATCTACCTGTATCAGGTAAATCCTCTGAAAAAGGTACTATATTAGAAGTTGTTTAAACACTGCAGAAAATGTCTTCAGCACTGATAAAGAGCAGTTAATAAAACCAGCAACTCCATACTTCCTTCTATATTTGTTTATCTTTCTGTTCGTGTTTGTTCTACAAATTCCGAGTATGAAACTTTAAATTCAGAGACGTCTTTGGTTTGCATCCTTTTTCTGTAAATCCAAATAAAGTCTAGATTTTAATAGAGAAGTTGAGTATAAAATTTAACTATTATGTACTTCTCAGGACTGTCTCCACCACACAAAAAGAATGAAAATGCTGTTTTACCTGCATTTCCTTCCTATTCTCATAATTGATCATAAAGCAGACAGCTACTACATATTTTCTCTACCACACATGCTCTTTTTTACATTAGGCATTATTTGTTCTGCTTTAACAGAAGTAGCTAGCAAAACCACTCATAAAACTGCCTTCCTGCCACGGATATCTTAGTCTAACACAACAGTGTTGGGAAAAAACGTCCTTCACTTAGAGTGATAGAGGACATTCACAAGAAAGTGTAAAGTAAGTTTATTTTACATGCACACCTTAACACATACAAGGATATAAAGAAAGAAAATCATGTTGCAAACAATATTAACAGAGGTTTATTTATTTATTAAAAAGTTCACCAACTCCTTAAGGTCAATACCTGCTTGAAAATTCAATTTGAAGTCAAAGGGGCAAAGACTTAATGGACTATCACACAAGAAAAAGCAAATTCTGGTACCAGCAATAGACACTGTTCATGTGACATGGTGATGATAGACTGATTGAAGAGTGACAGCTGCTATCCAGCCACCAGCAGGAATATTCTGCTAAGTACTATGTTGAGTACGGACAAATTTCCATAATATTAAAATTCTCAAATGTGTCTTCAAGCATAAAATAACTTAAATAAAATATTAATCCCATAGGCGAGAACTGCTTACTGAGCTCTTTTCATAGGGAATCACCTCTCTGCAGGTGGGCAACATCCATAAATCTCTATAATATTTGACTTATTTTTAGCACAGGCGTTGCCTAAGCTGGTGATTGGAATTCACACACACATCAAAGTCAGAAAGCTTTCATGGAGTGTGCATTATCAGCAGCTGCCACTTTCCTCTCTGCTTCACCAGGAAGACAGAATATTCCTAGAGGTTTGGTGCACAGCAGTACAAAAAATATGTTACAGTGATATAAAATGACACAAGGCCTATTTTCACATGCCTATGGAAAGAAAATACAGAGCCATGAACCTCCTTATCATCACAGAGTTGCAAAATTGCCTTGTGAAGAATGCATTTTTAAAAGAACAGTGGAATACTTGGTGGTTCACCTTCATTTTCACTTTATATCGACTCTATTTAACACATTTAACTGAATCAGCAGCAGAACAGGGTCAACTCCTCCCAACCTTTAGGGATAGAAGATACTAAAGAGAAGAGTTGTAGTGTACTGGAATATCTAACTAGCAGATGATGTGGTGGTTCACCACTTAAGAAAAGGAGCAGTAATATGGTTGAAAATGCAGGAAGCAGAAGACCAGAGGGGGCCTTGAACATGTGTCTGCACAGGCTGATCACGTAAGCACAGGTTCGTGGATCTATATCCCACTTGGAACAACTCTCGCCGAGGGGAATGCAGGATTGTGAACCTTCCCGGTGCTGAGGCTAATGCCAAAGGACCAGCCTACACCTCGGTTACACACACTTGCAGTTCCTACACCGAGCAAACAGGAAGTTATTTATAGGAAGCTCTGCAAAGCGCAGATCGCTCAGGAGATCCCGTACATGACCCCAATGCAATCAAAACAAAAGCTGTGGAGTGCCATTCCTCTTCGTCGTGGTGCTGTGCTAAGGGGGCACTTGAGCTCCAGATAATGACTTTTAGTCTGTCACGTATCTGGAACACTTCACGCCCAATATTAATTTTGAGATAGTGCCTGCATCTCAAACTGGTGACAGAGATTCCAGTGTATGAGAGACCGAGTACATGCGGCTAAAAACCAGTATCTCAAACACTCACAGATAAAATACGTATCATCTCCAGTGACTAATTTTTTAAAGCTTTCCATGAGTAAGCGTAAATATTTGAAAGTCAACATCCTGAAGACAGTATTAGCTTTTTTTCCAAATATCTGAACAGCTTATAAGACACCATTTTATCCACAGCAGCTCTCCCATTCTATAACTTGAGACGTTAATTCAATCTCCCAGGACCACGGGACCTACTGATGTCATTTTAAAGGCAACACACTGGTCTTCAGAGCTGAAACATTGAGGGAACTCGGATTTCCTAACAGAAGACAGACAGCATCCCATTGCTATGAAAGCACCTGCCAAATCTAACATCCGTGCAACAGAGAAGGTATTAAAGCCATAATCAAACCCATTATATGATTTAATGTGTAGTAGAGCAAACGATGCTAGAGCTGTATTGTTACTGGTAGTCTTCTTTTTCTGCCACAGCGAGGCATTCCAGGCCACAGGAGTCACAAATAATTGCTAAGCAGACACTGCCAACCTTACAGTTTCACAGGTATTTCAAAGAGAGGTGAGAGCTGAAAGTTTAGGAGGTTACTACATCAGCAGAGAGAGAAGTGGCAAAACACCAGAAGAGAAAGGTGGTAAGAAGTGTTTGACTAGAATATGGGACTTTTTGCCTACAGATTACTTGTAAAAAAAACATTTAAGGAAGGTACTTAAGATAAAAATGGATTGTCAACGGGCTTTGAATTGCCACACAGAGGTCAAAATCTCCCTGGAAAATTCCTGTGGTATGCAGAACTGGGAAGGTCAACCCCCTACTAAACCAGAAGAAGCCACAAGACTTTTGTCTTCTTTAAAAGGGAGAGAAAGCAGCAACCAGAGTGCTTCTTTAACAGAAGAATTCATTCCTAATTGCGTGACAATATGCAGAGCAATAATTAGGAAATTCCAGTTTCCAAGCAACCCCCTGTTTAAAAGGACTGAAAATATTCTAGGAAAAAAAAAAAAAGCACAGTACAGCCATTAAAAAACAGAAATATGCCTTTCATGATTAAGCTCGATAACTCCAAATAGTGAAAACCTTCCGGGAAAATGAAAAATGTTATGAGAATTCCAAAAATAATTTTTAACCAAGGAGAATATTTATATATAAGGCTCCCAAAGGCTAGAGCAATTCACTGGTAACAGCAAAATTTTCCACATAAATAGCCCTAAAAAAGTAGAAATCTGTAGAAATCCAGATTTGCAGCATTATTCTAGACCAGCAATAGTCTAATTCTAGTCCACTTACAGAAGCAACTGCTCTCCAAACCACTAAGTTTTGCTGATTCCTGCACGGCACTCAAAGACGCATCACAGAAAGGCAACCCTCCGTAAATCGTCATTAAAAGACGTGTGCAAGCTCAGATTCCAATATAACTGTTAACATTTGATAGGCCCCACCACAACAGCCCGTTAAAGACATGCTACTATCAAAACTCTTCAGGTAGAAACACCTTGAAAAATTCAGGTTTGAAACAGTTTGCTCTCAAGATCTTACTCAAACACCGTATCCCCACTGCAGAGGAAAGTGTTCCTCACTGGATAAAATCTGTGCTAAAGGAAAATAAATTTTCAGAACGATTGGCTTGTTTTGCTACATTGCATACATGTAAACTTCATTAGAGAACCGGCTATTTCAACTAGCACCCGTGCACTGCCAAGAGCTCTTTAGCAATAGTTTATGTGGCAACAGAGAACTTGGGGAAAAAGGAGTCATAGTGAGAGAGACTCCGGCTTATTTACCTTGATGAGTCATTGTGACAGGTTCTTCACTGGATATATTGTTGTAAATGACCACAGCTGTGGCATTATGTGAAGCTGCTCGCAGTATTTTCTCTCTAAATGTACAGTTTCCTCGCTGTAGTAAAGCAATCCACTGCTTGGTGTTTGGTGGAACCTGGAAACGTGTTCGAGGGTCACAGCCCAGGCGATCTGCAACTGAAATGGGAAACACATTTACACACACAGCAGTTTGTTCCAACAGGCAAAAAAAGAAGAAAATAAAAAACTAACTCCAAGTTTTGCTGAATTACTTAACATTATGCACCAGGAAGCCACTCTCCTCTCGTTAATAAAGCCTAAAGATAACTGCATTGTTATGAAAAGGTCTTTTTATAAAGTCTCGCACCTTGAAAGCCGTGTCTATATGCCTGAGAATTAGGCTCACTAACATAAGCTATTTTTAACTCTAGTGCTGCTAGAACAATTAATTCAGATTCGAATCAATACCTGCCTAGAGGCTGAAAAACATCAGAATATGGCTCATAAGCTACAGGCATTTACAAAACAGCTGTTTATCAGCCATTCTGGGGAGTATAACCTTTTTTTTTTTCTTTCTAATGCAGTCACAAATACAACTGCAGTGGGAAGTACAACTAAACAAAGGAGGTCGTGAAAACGAGATTTCAGAGTTATCTGCCATGTGCAGGCTACTGTTAGAAAAGGACAGTATCAAAAGCTGATCTTGTAAAAGCCCAGCAGCCAACGCCGGCTTTTTACGTGTGCACATTTTGTCTACAAGGAAGCGCATTCAAATTCATGGAGAAACAAACGGTTTTGCAAGCGCAATGCACTCAAGTTGTCAGAGAAACAGGTATTGCTGGTGTAAAGGAAGAGTAACAGAAATGGCAAGTGTCAGATGACTGAAAATCGAGGGTATGCAAAGCTCTTTTGTCCTTTCTGATGCTGTAATGGAGCCTGGAACAATCCAACCCCCCCAGAGCTCTGTACCAAAAGCACAAAAAGCAAGGCAGAACATAACTTCAGGGCAGAGCAGCTGAAACTGATGAAAGACATTTCTGTTTACACCACTGGAACCACCCAGTTTAGTCTGATACACTGGTCCTATCATTAATGGATTTTAGAAATGGAGAGACAACAGCATCTTGCAATATAAATATATTTACCCTTTCAAATGACAAGAGAATAAGAGTCTTTGGCTACTAAAAATGGTTGGGATAAACAGTGATTTTCCAAGACATAAACAAGCAATTTATTCGCATAATAGCTCTGAAAGCATTAAGGAATTGAGTTCTTCAGCACAGACTATGAGATTTCAGCACAAGATCTACCACAAAAAAAAAATCCTGTTTAACATATTAGCTGGAAACAGAACAAAAGATATTTTTAAGCATTCTCAGCTTAACATAGCTCAGGTTAAAACCTGCAACAAAGGAGATTCAAATAGCTACAAGATCTTTTCTGAAAGAAAAAAATAATAATCTTTTGCTTGCCTGAAGAAAACTAGCGTGGACAAATCTATATGGTGGCAGCCGTTCAGGAAGTCGTTGCATCTCTTAATTTGGACAAGAAGTGCCTCTCCCTGTTCCCCTGGAAGGAGGGTGGGGAGCCAGATGCAAGCACATCCTTTCCCCAATTGTTTTTCAAGGCTGTATCAGACATTTCGGACGCAGAGGGCTCTCTGCCCTGTTTTTGTATTGATGCTTTTGTTTTATACAGAGATCAGGGGAAATCTGAAATGCAGATGCCCGGAGTTGAATTTTACGGAACATTTCCTTCCACGGCCCTGACATTATTCCTCAAATCCCTTTGGAAATTGCTACCTAGCGCTGACCCACACGCGTGCTGGGGACAGCAATGAACAGCAGTGATCACAGGACGGCACTTTCTTACCAACTGCACTTTTGTAACTTGTCCTTGTAGCCTTCAATTTTGGGATAACAGTGCATTTTTTTTTAAAAAAAAGGAATTCCAGTTCTTTTTGAAAATGTGATAGAACCACAGCATACCTTGGTATCTTCTGTTAAGATAAAGCAGTTTGCAGTCCAACGCACGCTTCCCCCTTGCCTAAAATATTTCCACTTAAAAATGCAGGAGGGTGAAATCACCAGCAGATTGTGACAGGAAGTTTCTAAAGCCTTAAAAGTTAAAAATCCCACCCTTCTCCAGTGAAATCAGATTCTAAAATCTCAGGTGTGATACATCCTTTGCAGGATAGCATTCAATAAATGGCCACAGTTCCACAGAATCTCCTCAAACTATCAAAATTAACACTGAAGGTAGACACTACAGCCAACATAAATTTACTTTAAGTACAAGATGGGTGAAAACGGTAATCCTATGGATTGTGTGCAGTTTGCTTCGGTACAGTCACGCCCAAAACCTAAAATAACAAGTGAAAACAAAACTGGCCACAAAAAATAGGGTTATTGGCTACTAGAATGAAAAAAAAAAAAGCAATGAAAGGTAAAAGGCACCCTGAAGAGGGAGGCAGCATTCTCAGAAGTCCGTTAGACAGTTCAGTTTTTACAGGAAAAAAAAATAAAAATGTATGTAGGCACCTTTCAGTCTGTACTGCTCAATATTTTTAGCTTAAAAACTGTCAGAGAAAGAGGTAAGAGCTAATAGAAGTTGCATCTGTGGGAAAAGTAGTACAAAATTTTCTACCACGGTAGAGATCAAAGTCTCATTCAGCTGTGGACAGAGCTACGAAACATTACTGGATAGAGCAACAGGATTAGGAAATAAGATACTAAGAGATAAAAGCTTTCCTGATATAGACCAACAAACACCACTCAAATGCATACAGCATGTTATTCCTGACAAGGTGGATTCAGTGTGTCCTGATGAAAAATTAACAGCTGACAATATTATTTTTGCCCCATTTAAGCAATACAAAAACATATAGGAGAATGTGGTTGGTTTAGATAAACCTGAGCTGAGTAACTGCAAGTCCCTTGAGATTTAGTAAGAAGTCACAACGCACTTTTCTTCACATTAGCAGCCTAGTGCACCACAGAAACGTTAAAGTAACCTTTTCACTTTTAACTAAATAAAATTCGGGGACAATAGCGGAAAGCCTGCATTTTTCTGCTTGTCTTTTCAATAGATTTAATACACTCTGAAAGGACTGTAAGTCTTATAATCACGGTCACCCCTCTAACATCGCGAGCTGGCTAAAATAAACCATCTGCTATACACCCAGGCACATCAGCTGGCATTGTAAGGGACACAGATAAACAAACAGCATCAGCAAGAATCATCACTGATAGCTCTCATTATCATGCCATCTATGCTCTCTTGTCCAAAGTCCAATTAGGATCTAAAAGACTGGGGCTTGCAAGTATTACCTGGATGATGTCCATGCCAGAATGAAAAGCGACTTCACATTAAATTAAAGTCATTCTATAGCAAGTCACTCGTGCATAAAAAGATACGATCAGAAGTCACTCATGTAATTTCATTATTTCAGAAGATATAAGTATAAAGAAAGCCATCTGAGTGTGTTTCCCTATAGATGCACTACTTTTCTAGCTTATTTGAAACAGAAGTAATTTGCCTTTCTTTTCTCCAGGTCTACCTGTGTACCATGAACGTGCTGGCAAAATCCCAATTTTCTGTTAGAAGTGGCAGCCTGCTGGGTTCAAGAGCTATGTACAATGTTGTCATAAATCTCTCTCTCCCCATCACAAGCCCAAGAAGATCCTCTTTACAGATGCATCAGCTGTGATTTAAGTATCTACCGTTAGGCTGCATGGCTTTTTTCAATTTTAGGAGAACTTCAGTTTCCTCCGGCAGACCACACAGGACTGCTCAACTTTCATCTAACTTCTCCTCCTTAAGAATTTTTTTTAAGTCCAAGAGCGCTTTCTGCTAAAGGACTAATGTTTGTGATGGCATTTTAGGGATTCATACAAAAAGAATAGTGCATAATGCACCAGATCCAACCAGGTTTCCTCAACCACTGAAGCACTGCCAAGCTCACATTAGCACAGCGACAGTACTTTCCTCCTCATCTTTTCCAATTGCTTGACCAGGTCCTTTGGCCCTCTCCCATAAGAGGATTGGCCTTTTTGCAGGGCAAAAGTGAAATTAATAGGTCAGTGGTCAGAGGCTTTGTCAGAAGTACGCACCTGCCTGAATGCAGACTGTCTCCTACATTGGAACCGCAGCTGGATTTGCTTTCTCTCACGTACCGTGTGTTTATGTTGCTCTTGCATTGCTTAGAACGCAGCTTGATGTCTCTCTTCAGCTAAGGCTGCTGCACTGACTCTTACCAGACTTTATCTCCTTTTCAAAGAAAAGGCCAGTGCCATGATCCCACACCCTGGCAATTAACTATTCTATCCATAGGTTTTTTTTTCTTTTTCTTTTCTTTCTTTTAAAGGTCAGGTATCTCGATATTGATCGCATCTTAGCTAATACTCTGCTCTCCGAGGCCAGCACCAGTTGCCAGAGCTGGTCTGTCTCAGCTAGACATACAGAAACGATTTTCAAGTCTGACCTTCCATCGCTGTAATACAATAGGTGGAGAGACACCACCGAGAGCTTGAGGGGCAGCAGATCCCAGAGACTCGTTGGGAAGGAGAACGGGAGGATGCTGTCCCACACCAAAGCATTCCTTCCCGCCAGCGGGCACAGCCCTGGCAGGTGCTACACCGAAAACACACCTGACTGGTAAAACAGCCAGCCTTGTGCAACACGGTAATTATAACCCTGTGATAACCTTTCCAGAAAAGGAATTCCACTGGGAAATTCACAGAAGTAACTCAGCAGAACGGATGGATTCTTATTTCAAGGAAGGGTACTAGTTATTTCCTACTCCGTGAGGGTCTGATACATGCAATACATTTCTTTCAACGTGTTACTACTTGTGTCATTATCAGTGTAGTCCTTACTCAAGCCAGTCATAATTCCCACTTTTAAAAAGTGAGTTACAATAAAACGACATTTTATTTTCAGAGCTATTTCAGGTAATTGCTTCGACTAAATCTAGCTTTGACACTGAAAGAAACCCTTTGAGCAAGAGGTAATCTTATTCGAGGGAAGAAGTTAAACAAAAGAAAATCACTAAAGCTTAGAAGAGTCCTGTAATAGTTCAGATTTAATCTTGTGAGCTCAGTAAGCATACTGCAATTATGGCTATAAACTCCAATATGTAACCTCCACTTCTGTTATCAATTAATGTCTACTA